ACACACACACCACACACATACACACACCACACCACACACATACACACACACACATACCACACATACACCACTCACACACACACACACACACACACACACACACACACACACCACCACCCCAATACCAAAAAAAATCCCATACACATCACACACATACCACACATACACCACACACACACACCATACACATACACACATACCACACATACACCACACACAAACACCACACACATACACAATACCACACACACACATACACACACACACACACACACACACACACACACACACACACACACACAGAGAGGTGGCCCCCCCCTCTATCGGAGTCCAAGAACTGACACAGATGTAGAAAGCACATGAGGACTTCTGGTTCTCAATGTGGTGGATGCCGTCTGGCTTTGCTCCTCAGTTTTCTGGTTATGCAATCAAATGCTACTTAGGCAGCTTCCTTCTTGCCTCTTCGCCCCCAAATGCTGTGGCTCATTAGCCAGTCACAACAGATAGCTCTGTGTCAGGGAACCGTGGCTTCCACTCCAGGAAGTATGACCCCTGAGCTCTGAGAAAGGGTCTCCAACCACCTCTTCTCTTCTGGAGTCTTCATTCCCATTTACAGTAGGAGGTTCTGTTCAGTGGCAGCTTATCTCACTGTCACCCTTGGGCCATGTGACCCTTCACCTCCCAGTTTTTCACTGACATCAGACTTCCTCACTAGTGTCCTCTACGTTGCCTCCAGAGTAGAGGGACATGATGTTCTCTACTGTTTCTCAGATTGTTCCCGTAAAATAGATGGTGAGAGCAGAGAGAGACAAAAATACCAATAGTAAGAAAATCTGAAGCAAATACCTTTGTCTGATGAGCCATCTAGTTAGCCTTAAAATACCTTATTTTCTAATATGGTATTTTAGATGGAAAAAAATATTAAGAACCATATTTTTTTATTTGTATTTGTATTTGTGTGTCTGTGTACATATGCTGCACGTTTGCCGAGGCCAGAAGAAGGGCTTCAGGTTGCCTGGGGCTGGAGTTCCTGGTGAGTGTGAGCTTCTTGGGACAGTGAGGAGGCACAATCACAGATGCTCACTTCCAGGCATGGCACAGCAGTTTTCACCCTCAGAAAACATAGGAGTCTGCCATACATTTTGATTGTTATTTTGTTTTATTGAAAAACAAAAACTTGTGTAGTTACTGTCCAGTGTCTGGACTAGAAACAACAAAGATGTCTGTACCTTTAAAATCTAGGAATACTGACTTGTCTGTACCTCATGATATGCAGTTATACAAAATTTCTCAGTGTAACAACTTTGGCTCAATTAAATAAAGAAGCAAACATACTTAGCCTCGGCTACTTTTGTGTCTGGTAGCAGCACCCAATTTGTTTCCTTGCAAAGGATCTTTGAGATTTCACCAGTCCTTCCTTGTTCTGGGAGATCCCATATTTAGCCTCAGTTTAGCTCTCCAGAATTTGGGTACTATTTGTTTACTTCATAAATGTCATATAAATATAGTTGTTGTACTGCTATTTAGGGATTAATGACAAGGAAAAAATGTCTGCACATGTTTAATAAAAATTCTGTGTTTTTCTTTTTCTTTTTTTTTTCTTTTTTCTTTTTTTTTTTTGGTTTTTCGAGACAGGGTTTCCCTGTGGCTTTGGAGCCTATCCTGGCACTCGCTCTTGTAGACCAGGCTGGTCTCAAACTCTCAGAGATCCACCTGCCTCTGCCTCCTGAGTGCTGGGATTAAAGGCGTGCGCCACCAATGCCCGGCAATTCTGTGTTTTTCTATATGTTTTTGTTTCATGACTGACCGAGTCCATGGATGTGTAAGAACCATAAAGATGTGGGACCAGCTGTAATGTACTGTTAATATCTTCTCACTGTCGTGTTTGCACTGTATTCTGCAGAGATGTATCCAAGTCCCATGTTTTAAAATAATGCTATCATGTCCTTTCTCTGCAGACCACAGTGTACCGAAGCCTTTGTAGCCACATCTTTGCTAATTTAAAGAATTATTTTCTGAGCAAGATGTGGTGGTACATGTCTGTAATCCTAGCACTTGGGAAGCTGAAGCAAGAGGACCATGAGTAGAAGGTGAGCCTAGGCCTATCAAGAAAGGGAGAGGGGAGGGAGGAGTTGGAAGGGAAGGGGAAAAGAAAGAAGGAAAGAAGTGTATTTCCTGGTTGTGGTTTTCTAGACTGAATAGCTGGGTTAAGATGCTAATATTTCCCCAGGTCTTTTAAACCATATTGTTTCTTTCTCTGGAATTACTATCATCAAAGCACAATTCTCTACACCTGCACCAACACTGAAACAGTAATTTGCTGAATTAAACACTACAGCATTGTGTTCAAAATACGAGTTCATTTCCACTGATCATCATTTGAAAACAAGGGGCAAGAAATTTATATTATCTGAGCTTTAGTATAAATAACCTCAGCCTACTTCCAAGAAATATTATGAATAATTAAATGATGTTGAACACTTGAAAGTATTTTAGGAAAATCAAGAGCAGTACAGAATGCAAGTTCTTAAAATATTGATGAAGAGATGGCAATCGCTAAGGTTTGTGATCTCTTTCCAAAAGAAAATAGATGGTATGGGTGGCTGCTAGGCTGTGTACCAGGCAGTGTGGGAAATGCTTGATGCAGTCTAACAGCCCCAAGATGGTCACATGAGCATTTTAGTTTTGTTTGACAGGTGAACAGCCAGACTTTGTCATATTAAAGGTCCCTCCCTCCCTTCAAAGGAAAAAAAAAAAAAGCTCTTGGAAAAAAAATAGTAACAGGAATCAGGGTTCATCTTTTTAACTATTGTATTATTGCTCTTTCTTTCTTCCTTTCTTCTTTCCTTCTGTCCTTCCTTCCTTCCTTCCTTCCTTCCTTTCTTTCTTTATTTTCCTTTCTTTCTTTTTTTTAAGAGGCTGGGGAGATGGCTCAGGATTTAGAAGCACACACTGCTCTTTCAGATGATCCAAGTTCCTGAACTCAAAGGATTCACTCATCACCCACTGTCTTAGTTAGGGTCTCTGTTGCTGTGATAAAACACCATGAGCAAAAAGCAAATTGGGAAGGAAAGGGTTTATTCAGTTTATACTTACATATCACTGAAGGAAGTCAGGACAGGAACTCAAACAGGGCTGAAACCTGGAGTCAGGAGCTGATGCAGAGGCCATGAAAGAGTACTGCTTACTGGCTTGTTTCCCATGGCTTGCTCAGCCTGATTTCTTACAAAACCCAGGACCATAAACCCAGGGATGGCACCACCCACAATGGGCTGGGCCCTCCCCCATCAATAACTAATTAAGAAAATGCCTTATAGATGGATCTTCTGGAGGCATTTCCCCTCCTTTCAAATAATTCTGAAAGTTTGGGGCAAGTTGACCTAAGAGAAGCCAGCACACTCACATCAGGTGGCTCATAGCTGCCTGTAATGCTAGCTCAGAGGGATCTGATGCCCTCTTCTGGCATTCCTAGGTACATGCATTCACATAAATATACCACACACAGACACAAGTACACAGAACTAAAAATATAAATCTTAAGAAACTTTTATTAAATTCATTTATGTGTGTATGTGTCCACATGCATTCATAGGGGACAACTTTCAAGAGTCAGTTCTATCCATCCTCTGGGTCTCAGGGATGGAACTCAGATTGTCAGACTTGGCAGCAGGTACCCCAGTTGAGCTGTCGGAGGTCAATAGAACTCACAGTGGGTCAAGGGACCCCAGACTAAACCTGTGATCATGTTGCAGAGCCAGGTCTTGAGACTGAAAATACACTAAAACATTGCATGACTGGAAGACTCCCCCCACATCTTCTCTGTCCCATGAATAAGAGCTGTTATGTGACAGGCCACGTGGAAGCTCCACCTCTTCCACTGAGATGACAACACACAGTTCTTCCCTGGCCCTTTGGAGCTGCCATAGCAGATTTTAAAGATCCAGAGGTAATGATTCCAATCACATCACTATTTGACTCTCATACATGAACAAATACAACAAGACCGTTTCACAAATGCAGTCAGAGGGTGGTGGCAATGCTCAGTTGGATAGAACATGCATGGAAGGGCCGCATGAGCGATGGCAATGGAATCTGTGCATGAGTTCAGCGGGATGGCCTTTCCTCTTACCAATGCTGCCATGGGTACGGTCCTGATGAATGTCCAACTTACTGACAACAGAGGCCAGTGATGAGCAATAGAATTCTCGGAAG